CCCCGCCTCATTTTTTTTCTAATAATAGGTGAGTTCAGCCCATTTATATTTATTATGATACCTTTTGGGTTTAGTTTTTGTTCCATTTTTGGTTTTACTGATTTTTTTGGTTTTTAAAAATTATTCACATTTAATTGTTTTACATTTGAGTATATATAAATTTGAAAGAGATATTTAAGGTTCAGTATGTCAAAATGGCTAAGAGCATACACTTTTCCCTTGGTTGAATCCTCTATCATGTGACTTTGCGCAAGTTGCTTATCCTTTCTGTCATATACCTGTGAGTCATCTGTAAAATGGGGATAATGACAGTACTTACCTGTAAGGATTGGCATGAGAAGTAAGTGAGTTACTTGGGCTCCTAGGTGGCTCAGTTGGTTAAGCATCCCACTTCTGCCCAGGTCATGATCTCATGGTTCATGAGTTTGAGCCCCCCCTCAGGCTCTCTGCTGTTAGCACAGAGCCCGCTCCAGATCTTCTGATCCCCTCTCTCTGCCCCTCCTCTGCTTACATGTGCATGCATCCTTTCTCTCTCTCAAAAATAAACATTTAAAGAATAGAAATAAAAAATAAATAAAATGAGTTACTATTTATGAAGCACTTAAACAGTACTTTGAAATTTAAGTGCTATACCTACTGCTAATACCAACAATATTACTGATTATCACCTACTGCTAATACCAACAATATTACTGATTATCCTTATTGTGGGGTCTCCCAAATGGATGGCGGGGGCACCAAATATGGGGCAACCCGACTGGGTGGAAGCCAGCAGTGCAAAAGGTGAAAGAATTCATCCAAGGCAGAACAATGGAGACAGACGTTTATGAATACACTCACTGCAAGGAAGCTGCAGGCAGGATAGCAAAACAGAGACTGTCTGCCATGAGGCTGTGGTGGGGAGCCATAGTTTTAGGGCAGAGTGAGGGAGCCTGGGAACATATGTAATTTTCCCATTTTTGGTAATGTTAGGAACTGTGCCTGGTTGTAACTGGTCAGTTAGAGTCTAAGGCTATTACAAGGTGGTCTAATGGGCCTATGTGTTCAGCCAGGGGTCACTGTGGGCCCTTCTACCTTACTCAGGTTTCCATTATTTAAGTTGGTTGCCCAAAAGTGGTCTCTACACTTATAACTTTATTTAATACTTAAACCTATACTTCCATGTTCTACACAGTATTTGTTAATTCCAGATATAAATAATGGTGGATATATTTACTCCCTTCTCTCCACGACTCAATTTTTTTGTTGATATTTTTTCATATGCTTATCTATGAACCTTTAGGTATATTAGTATCTCTAACCTGATATATTCGCTTTAAAAGATATCTCTGACACTAACT